TCTACATAAAGCAGATTTTACAGCCCAACAGTGTGACTCACTGAATCTGTATCAGCCTTGCACATCCATTCAGTTCAGCTTCTGAGGGCTTAAAGCCACAAAGTTTAAAACTGATTTCTGGAAAAATAACTCATCTTCTGATGTTTCAGCTTTTCTTCACAGCTTAGCAGTTTCTTTAGATTTCTCTGTTGTGTGCCTGATTCTACAATTCATTCACAAGATGCTTCTGTCCAAAGCGACGTACATTAAGGAGTTTTTTCCCAGCTAGCTAGAACTCTGTTTCTGAGCCAATGCCGTGTCCACTACAGAATCTGTTTTTAAAGCAGGGCTGTCTCAGGGACACACAGTTTGTTTTGTTGGCCTTGTCCTCCACTTACAGATATTTCTTTAGATTCTCTGAATCTTTTTATGATGTAAAGTTTGCAGACAATGAACCCCACATCATTTCAATTGTAAGTAAAAAAAAACAACAACAAGATTCTAATTGTTTCACCTCAGCACAGACTTTCACAGACGCCCTTCACATCTTTTTTTTAAACCATCATGTTACTAACCTGCAGCCAGTTCACCTTCTAAACTTTGACATGTTCCATCAGCTTCTGTGCTACTGCACCAACTTTCTTTTTAAACATTTTGGAATTAAATTCAATTCAAAATCAAAAAAGTTGAATTTTGTGAAAAATTTCGGCCTCAAAAAATGTTGAAAATGTTCATGAAAAACTTTGGTTTCCAAAAGTTGGAACAAATTTTGGTGAAAATTAAACAATGTCATTTCACAGTTTCAACATTTAGCAGGTTGTCTTTGTGCTATTTTCAATTCCATACGGGGTTTCAATGTTTCAAATCATCCCTTTCTGTTTCTATTCACATTTTACTCTGAGGTTTTACTTTTAACCCTCTTCCAGCTGTAGGATGGATTGATTATAATCTGTGTGTTCAATGTTAAACTTACCTATGACCTCCAGTTTGAATTGTGACAGATAAATGTTGTCGATGTCGACTTCCACTTCATAGAGTCCTCTGTCTTCAAACTTGAGGCCGGTGATTTCGAGCTCTGCTGAGACCCAGTCGAGAGTGATCCTGTTTTTGTACGCTCCGTACACCTCTGCTCTCTGCTGTCAAACTCCACCACTTTGTTTCCGTTATGTCTCCACAGAATTGAATTTGGTTGTCCAGAAAAGGTCGGCTTCAAGCTCTCCCCGTCCCCTTGAGGACATATTTTGTAGGCGGTTCAGCACCTAGAACTGATCATAGAGAGGTATGAGAATATGAAGCATGTGTCTTTGTAAGGGTTCTGCATATTTAAAACAACTCTAATGAAACGTGTTTATAGAATTTAGAGACCGTTAATCCTGTTTAGTACTCAAGCATTATTATCTGTTATTAATATATTGTACTCATAATAAATGTGGATGGAGAAAAAACAGCAAGTTACTAAAAACATGACGTCCACGACGCGTACGACGGCCAGGTCTCAGTGGAAAAGAGGTTTTTAATCTCAATGGGACCAACCTGGTTAAATAAAGGTTCAATAAAATATATAAATATATATATTTTCATTCAACTTCCTGTCAAACCCTGGTGAGAAATCGTGTAACTTGGCAACAAAGCTTCAAGTTTTCTAAAAGAACGTTCACTTCAAAATGACCAAATCAGAAACCTGAACGTCCAGTTATACATGAGATCATACCGTGATAACAATACTTTGCTGTGAATGTCGCCGTCTCACTGCTCACAGGGTTGCTGACTGAACAGCTGTATTCTTCGTTATCTCGTTCGTCTCCCAGAGAAATATTAAACTTGTGTCCCAGTTGTGATTTTCCCCGTGCTCTCCATTTAAACTTCATCATGGACTCAGGTGGGGTGGGGTCTGCAGAGCACAGCAGCGTCGCCCGGACCTCAGAAACATCGGAGCCACCGTCTTTGTTTATCTCACAAGATATGGTCGGCCGGGCAACCTTGTCTTGAAGAAACATTTTAAAAAATAAAGAAATAAATGAATACATACTGAAATCATTGTAGTATGTTACGTATGTATCGGATGCTGATATGATATGAGCCCATCACATCACTATTGGTATCGACTAATTTTATCTCCGATATGAGCCAATTTAACGAGGTTTCTTCAATTTAAATTTATTTATGTTTTACATAGTTTTTAATAATAATTGTTCATTTCTAAGTAAAAATTAGTCTTTAAAGGCTTTATATTTTTGATCCAGCAGATGTCGCCCTTGAGCACCAGCATGAAACCAAAACAACTCGCACTGCATTGTTGTGTTAGCATGCTAATGCTAGCGATCTTTATTATGCTGGTATCTTCACACTGCATGTAAATTTACCTGAAATGAGCGTGATCTAGAAACACAGTTAAGCAGTGAGTACAGTATGTTATTCTTCTTTTCTCTAGTCCCTCAATTAAACAACTTTTATACACGAGGGGAGGAGTCAGCCGGCCGTCCGGGCGATGTAAACAAACTGAAGATAGGACTCTGAAAACTCTGAAAAAAATTCTGAAAAACAGACAGCCCACACAGACGGATTTTTCATCATCGCTGGGGATTTTAATCATGCAAATCTCAAGATGGTTTTACCCCACTTCCACCAACACGTGACCTTTCCCACAAGAGAAGGTAACATTCTGGACATGATTTACACATCAGTTAAAGGTGCTTACAAAGCTTCACCCTCCCCCACATCGGCCACTCTGACCATATCAGTGTAATGCTAATGCCAGTTACAGACCGAGGGTTAAAGTCACCAAACCAGTTCTGAAGCAGGTATGTGTGTGGCCAGAGGAGGCCTCTGCTGCACTACAAGACTGCTTTGATACCACAGACTGGGAGATGTTTAAGCAGGCAGCCACCTACAACAACCACACAGACATTGAGGAGTATTCTGACACTGTTACCTCCTACATTAGCAAATGCACTGCTGATGTCACCACCACCAGAACCATCACCACCCGGGCTAACCAGAAGCCATGGCTGACAGGAGAGGTACGCGGGCTACTGAGGGCCAGGAACACCGCCTTCAGAGCTGGGGACGCAGCCTGCCTGAGAACAGCGAGGGCCGACCTGTCCCGTGGCATCAGGGAAGCCAAACGCAGCTACACACTAAAAATAACCGGACACTTAAAGGACAGCAGAGACGCGCAGAGCCTGTGGCGTGGTATCCAGACCATCACGGACTACAAACCCAAGCCACAGACCTGTGACAGCAACACCTCTCTGCTGAACGACCTCAACAGCTTCTTTGCCAGGTTTGAAGCACACAACAGCACGCCCCCACAGAAGACCACCCCCTCCCCACGACCAGACCCTGTGCCTGACTGCAGCCAGGTGAAGAGAACCTTCTCCAAGATCAACACCCGCAAGGCTGCAGGTCCAGACAACATTCCTGGCCGTGTGCTGAAGGACTGTGCAGAGGAGCTCAAAGATGTCTTCACAGACATTTTCAACGCTTCTCTGAGTCAGGCTGTTGTTCCGTCGTGCTTCAAAGCCACCACCATCATACCCGTTCCAAAGAAGCCCTCACCATCCACTTTCAATGACTATCGACCGTTGCACTGACCCCCATCGCCATGAAGTGCTTTGAAAGGTTAGTCATGGCCCACATCAAATCCACCCTCCCGCCACCCTGGACCCCTACCAGTTTGCATACCGAGGTAACAGATCCACCGAGGATGCCATCTGTTCTGCTCTTCACCCAGCCCTCACCCACCTGGACACCAAAAACTCATACGTCAGAATGCTGTTCATAGACTTCAGTTCAGCATTCAACACCATCATCTCTCAGCAGCTGATCGGCAAACTGGACCAGCTGGGGCTCAGCACTTCCCTGTGCAACTGTCTGCTGGACTTCCTCAGCGAGAGGCCTCAGACAGTGCGGGTCGGCGGCAGCACATCAAAAACCACCGTCATGAGCACTGGGGCCCCCCAGGGATGTGTGCTCAGCTCCCTGTCTTCACGCTGCTGACCCACGACTGCGCTCCATCCTTCAGCAGCAACCACATAGGTTGGTCTCATCTCCAACAACGATGAGACGCACTACAGGATGGAGGTCAGCCAACTGGCCACGTGGTGCAGAGACAACAACCTCTTCCTGAACGTCGACAAGACCAAGGAGGTTGTTGTCGACTTCCGGAGAGTCCCCACTCCTAAACCCCCACTGACCATCGACGGTGCTGCTGTGGAGAGAGTGAGCAGCACCAAGTTCCTGGGGTTCACATCAGTGAGGATCTCTCCTGGACAACCAACACCACATCACTGGCCAAGAAGTCCCAGCAGCACCTCTACTTCCTCCGCAAGCTGAAGAGAGCACGAGCCCCCCATCCATCATGTGCTCCTTCTACAGAGGCACCATCGAGAGCATCCTGACCAGCTGCATCACTGTGTGGCTTGGGAGCTGCACTGCTGCCAACCGCAAGACCCTGCAGCGCACAGTGAAGGCTGCTGAACGGATTATCGGTGTCCCACTCCCCTCTCTTCTGGACCTCTACGGTACCCGCCTCACCCGCAAAGCAACCAGCATTGTGCGTGACCCCACCCACCCCTCACACAGCCTCTTCAGCCTCCTGCCATCGGGGAGACGGTACCGCAGCCTGCGGGCCGGCTCCACCACTGGGAACCAGCTTCTTCCACCAAGCTGTCAGGAAGCTTAACTCTCTCCCCTCTCTTCCTTCCTCCCCTCTGCCCCACGAACACTGGACGTTGAACCCCTCCCGTTTCCTCCAAGAACTCTGGACTAATCTGAACTAACATCTCAAAAGTACACTCAGTTTACTGCACATTGCTCAATACTAATCTCTGAAGCTAACATTCAAAAGTACACTCAGTTTACTGCACATTGCACATATTGCACAAGTTTAATTTTTCTTTAAATTTTATTTTATTTTATTTACCATTAAGTACCTTTTACACAATTTAGAATTTATTACTGTAAATATTATTTATCTTATTTTTACCTTATCTTATTTTACCTTATTCTGGTTGTATTGCATCGTGGGACAGAGACAAAAAGCAATTTCGATTCCACTGTATGTCTGGCATATTTTGAAATAGACAATAAAGTTGACTTTGACTTTGACTCTAAAAACATCACAGACAGTGGGACTCGGGTGTTACACCCATTGCAGACAGTCATGACTCACAGAGTTATTTTCAGATACTTGATTTCTGAATTTAAGTGAGAAAAATCACATTTAAAACAGTTTACTGTTGTTATTCTGGCCAATAAATTATTTCGATATATCGGCCCCAAAAATCCCATATGTGTCGGGTCCTGGTTTGTATACAAAGAAACATAAAATCTGTGCAAACAAGTGAATAATATGATAACATAATGTCGGGTATAAAGGGCATACACTGCTTATCAGAACGGGTTTGAGGTCAAACATCAGTGTGTCTGATGAATAAAGTATTGTTACAGTATGATTAACATCGACTTCTTTAGAGGGAAGAATGCTGTCATGTTAAAGAAATCTAACTGTGGCTCGTTGTTTAGGACACACACACACACACACACACACACACACACACACACACACACACACACACACACACACACACACACACACACACACACACACACTGTGTTCACTATGTTCTGTGACTTAAGAGAGTGAAAGTAACTTCTTCTTTGGCACTGAATATAAACCGTCTTCAGATGCTTGAACAATTAGTTTTTTATCAAGGGCACACCTCTCGGCTGATACCAAGGCCATCGTAAAAAAGTAGATCCAGGACTATAAAACCCATTTGATAGCACACATATATAAAAAGATAATATTTGATCTCCCCTCTACAGTGCCCTTCAGTTCCTTTTAGAGTCCTGTTACAGTTACTTGCCCACGGTAACTTAAAGTGAGAAAAGGATTGTTCTGACCGCCTGAAGTGTAGAATGTGATAGAATAATGATGATGATATAAGTTTGTTTCTGATTACAACAAGTCCTAAACACTTGTATGATTTACATCACCAAAGAAAAATGCAATTCAGACACTTGAAATCCTCAAAAATACAAATGTGATGAAATGAGCGACTTGAAATATGAACGTTGCCAAAAGTACACAGTCTATAAAGATGTCCCCACAACAGCCATAAAACCTGTGGTGAAAGGTTTTATAACAGTTCTGAAGTTGATCATTGGTAATATTCTACATAAAGCAGATTTTACAGCCCAACAGTGTGACTCACTGAATCTGTATCAGCCTTGCACATCCATTCAGTTCAGCTTCTGAGGGCTTAAAGCCACAAAGTTTAAAACTGATTTCTGGAAAAATAACTCATCTTCTGATGTTTCAGCTTTTCTTCACAGCTTCAGCAGTTTCTTTAGATTTCTCTGTTGTGTGCCTGATTCTACAATTCATTCACAAGATGCTTCTGTCCAAAGCGACGTACATTAAGGAGTTTTTTTCCAGCTAGCTAGAACTCTGTTTCTGAGCCAATGCCGTGTCCACTACAGAATCTGTTTTTAAAGCAGGGCTGTCTCAGGGACACACAGTTTGTTTTGTTGGCCTTGTCCTCCACTTACAGATATTTCTTTAGATTCTCTGAATCTTTTTATAAGATGTAAAGTTTGCAGACAATGAACGCCCCACATTCATTTCAATTGTAAGTAAAAAAAACAACAAGATTCTAATTGTTTCACCTCAGCACAGACTTTCACAGACGCCCTTCACATCTTTTTTTTAAACCATCATGTTACTAACCTGTAGCCAGTTCACCTTCTAAACTTTGACATGTTCCATCAGCTTCTGTGCTACTGCACCAACTTTCTTTTTAAACATTTTGGAATTAAATTCAATTCAAAATCAAAAAAGCTGAACATTTTTGTGAAAAATTTCGGCCTCAAAAAATGTTGAAAATGTTCATGAAAAAAACTTTGGTTTCCAAAAAGTTGGACATTTTGGTGAAAATTAAACAATGTCATTTCACAGTTTCAACATTTAGCAGGTTGTCTTTGTGCTATTTTCAATTCCATACGGGGTTTCAATATTTCAAATCATCCCTTTCTGTTTCTATTTACATTTTACTCTGAGGTTTTACTTTTAACCCTCTTCCAGCTGTAGGATGGATTGATTATAATCTGTGTGTTCAATGTTAAATTTACCTATGACCTCCAGTTTGAATTCTGACAGATAGAAAATGTTGTCGATGTCGACTTCCACTTCATAGAGTCCTCTGTCTTCAAACTTGAGGCCGGTGATTTCGAGCTCTGCCGAGACCCAGTCGAGAGTGATCCTGTTTTTGTACGCTCCGTACACCTGTTCCTCTCTGCTGTCAAACTCCACCACTTTGTTTCCGTTATGTCTCCACAGAATTGAATTTGGTTGTCCAGAAAAGGTCGGCTTCAAGCTCTCCCCCGTCCCCTTGAGGACATATTTTGTAGGCGGTTCAGCACCTAGAACTGATCATAGAGAGGTATGAGAATATGAAGCATGTGTCTTTGTAAGGGTTCTGCATATTTAAAACAACTCTAATGAAACGTGTTTATAGAATTTAGAGACCGTTAATCCTGTTTAGTACTCGAGCTCATGCGGTCTGGAATCTCCTGCAGGATGATCTGTCTCTTTAAATCTTTTTTTTTTTTTTTTTGTAAGATTTATTTTTGGGCTTTTTGTGCCTTTAATGGAGAAACAGGACAGTGGATCGAGTTGGAAATCAGGGAGAGAGAGAGAGTGGGGAATGACATGCGGGATTTAAACCTGGGCCGCCCGCTTGGAAGACAATAGCCTCTATACATGGGGCGCGCGCACTAACCACTGCACCACCAGCGCCCCTCTTTAAATCTTTTTTAAAGTAGTCTGAAGGTGTTGGAGGAAGATGCTTCAGGTTGTAGATGCTTTGAATAATTAACTTTTCTTCTCTGTGACTCAGGATGTTGATCTGTGTTTGTGATTACTCTGTGTGTTTATCTCTGTAATGTGTTTATTGTACTGCTTTACTCTTGTAAATAAGATTTTTAATCTCAATGCAGGACTAAGTCACTTTTAGTCTAGGTCATTTAAACAACTTCCTATGGCGACACAGCAGCATTTGACAGAATTCATCAGTTATTGGATCACCATGGAGACAGATCAGCTGTTTAACATTTTATTCACTTAAAACACAAGCAGTTGTACCTGAACACCTCCCTGACTAACAACAAATTCTCCTTCAACTTATGTTTCCAGAATCCTTGTTCCAGTGTCTTAATTGTGAGATAGTCCGGCTTTTATTTGTGTTACATGAATTGAATATTTTCTAAGTCGGAGAACAAAACCATGCATCAAGATCTATCTGTCAAAACTTTCAGTATGATTCCAATCAGTAAAAATATGTCAAACTTCTGCCTGAACAATGACCAGAGAACACGTCTCTGCCATTGTCCCAGGATTAACACTTCATGATGATACATGCTGAGTAAAGAGTGGTGAAGATGTGTGTTTAGTTTGTTCATGTGTAACAAGTGTAAAGTCGATGTTAAACATTTGAATACAAAGTTAAAACAAATAAAAGTAAACATGAAATAGACTAATATCATCAGGTGTATTTCTTAGTCTGTTATTAACAAACGTATCAAAGTAATGCTGTGTTTCTATAAAGTCTATTACTTCATAATAAACATGTGAATTATGCATTTTTAAAAGCAAAATAAGGCACAGGTCAAAACTTATGTACATGTCTGATAAGGAAACAGTTTTTAGCTGCAGTGAACTATTGAACCCTCTTTGTATTAATGATTACTGAACATGTCTGGTCCTGCTCGTGGTGAGGTCTGCAGCTCTGTAGGTTCATTAAGTCTCAAGATAAAAACAGCAGAATGTTAAAGAAGAAAAACTCACCGAGGCAGGAGGTAAATAAGAACGAGGCCAGGAAATAAAAGCAACCCATTGCAGAGCAGCAGAATAATCACAGGTATGCTCCGCAGCCGCCGTCGTACCTTCAGTGTACTTTCACTTTCACTTTGTCGTCTCGGGTGCAGGAACAGAAAAAACACTTTTACTCTCTGATTTAACTCCAACAACTCGTGGGTTGTTATTTCTCCTTCCAACAAGTCAGAACAGACAAACAGGCAAAGTTCTAAACGAAAGTGTCTCGTCCAGGTGTTAACACCTGAGCTTCCGGTCTCCGACCTTCACAATAAGGTAGAAGCTCGACCATTGTGTAGTCACGACGCCTACATGCGAGGCTACACGGGTTAAGTTAGGCTACTTTTTCAAACTTCAAATATCTCTTAATATGTGGACGGAACAATGTTAACTATTGGTTTTATATGCAGACACACTGTTTGTTCATCTGCTCTCAGGTGCCCACCTGAAAAGGTGTGTTTCCCAGCTTCGGTGTACAGATGTTATCAATAGAAGACAGTCCGTTTTAACTAAAAACAAAAATTAAATAGGTTTTGTCTTATTTTCTTTCTTTTTTCCCCCACAACTTTCACTCACCTGCTGTTTGTATTTAGCCTCTGTGCTTTTAGTTTGAAATCAAACAGGAAACTGGGCTTTGACAGTTTAGTCACGATGCCAAATCTTTTTTTGAAGGTTGTGCGGGCTGTTAAAGAAACAGGAGCAGTATGCTTTCGTTGTGTCTCTCATTTACAAACAATTTATATTTGAATGTATTTTTAATTTCTTTAGGTTTGTAAGGTTTGTGTCTTAAACATGTTTACAGAATGTAGATAGTATTATATGGAAGCGATTAGTGATCAGAATTCAAATGATAAAGCTAATTTGAAAATTAAAATCCATCAACAGAAATGTTTTTTAATTTTCAGAATATGGGAGTATTATTTGACTCAAAAATAAAATTATGACTAATTTATCTAAATAGAATTTTAGTTTTCAACTTCAAAAATGCACATTTTTTTAAATTGAAAAAGCAAATGTAATTTTCTTCATTTTAATTTAGTCAAAGAATGTGCATTTTTATTTAAATGATTACATGTTATCATTTGAATTCTGATCACTAATCACTTCCATAGTATTCATCTTATGATCGTCTCACTTTATGTCTTTATCACCACTTGATGGCAGTGTTGATAAAAAAAAGGCCTACAGAGTGATTTATACTACACACAGTCTATATTCATTTCATGAGTATTGAGCCATTCTGTTTTTGCATTCTGTTCATTGTGAAATCAACAATGTATTTATGTTGTATATTTTTGTACATTTTAGGTATATTTACATCTATTTATGTATTTATTTTTTAAGGTTAAGAAATCTTGTGATTGTTTCTGATTAATATTTGATTTAAGTTATATATCACTTAACAAAGTCAGTATAGGAGCCTATTCACACATAGTTGGAATTGCCCAACATTAAGATTGATATGTACTAAGTATACACTGTAAAACATCACAGCCCAATTTAGTTATCTCCACTAACTTATTTTCTTTAACTCAAATAACCGACCAAGTTTTAGATTTTTAACTTACATTTATGAGTTTTCAAAAGTGAAACTTGCAGAAATCAATGTGATGATATTGTGCTCAATAGGGAAGAGGTGTCACCTGCTGGTCATTTTAGAGAATTACATCATGTAGTAATGAGCAGTGTGCATCAGTCGATGACAGATGAGCCATCAGTGTGCAGAGTAATCACTTCAGAAGTTGGTTGTGCGTGAATGAAAAGAGTGAGTACTTACCTGAAGTCTTATATGTGACATTGTGTGTTCTTTAATGTTGAGGCAAAGTTGTTAACTCCTGCGGAGCCAGAGTTTAGAGCTTAGATGTTCGGCGTATTCTGGATATGCTAATTAGCTGACGTCACGGCCCGACATGCTTACTAACTGTGTTGCTCTCTGCACGAGGAGGAAAGTTTGATGTCCGTGCTTCACAATAAAAGCATCGTAGTATTTTTATAGGGAAATGATTGTATGACTGTTAAGCCTACGATAGCCTTTCTGTGCTTAATACTTTAGGTTAAAGAGACATGTAGCTTACCTTTATTTATTTACATATTATAACCTATTACATTACTGTGTAGTGTTTTGTATGTTATTATAGAGGTAAGATGAAGCATTCAGATGTGTTCCTTAAGTATATATTCTGCTATTCTTTTTCTTATAGAAAACCACAACAAGACCCAATACTCTGTCATATTGAATGGCCACTGAGATGCCTGTATTTTGTTTCACTATGAGGAAGAAGTAAACAGCCATTCAACCAAATCTGCCCTCTTGTTATTCATATTCTGGAATAAGGCCTGAAGTGGTGTTCTGGCCGACACACCTGAGTGAATCCAGTGGAAAGCAACAGACTAGTGTCCCAACTGAGTTTAGTTTTATTATCTTCATTACAGCCAGGACTTTGACAGAATCACTGTTCTTTAAACCATGGTAAGAAATAGGCAAAAGTACACATTGTATAGTGTATATCTGCTCTTCATTCGAATTTCAACCTAAATTTGGACAACAATAGAGGACTCTTTCCTGCGGCGGAGGAAGTCCGTGCGCCTGATAACATAGCTTGAACGGAGGCGGAGTAATTCAACGGTCCTGTGAAGCAGCCGTAGGGAGAGAGAACGTCTTCGGTGAACCGACAGCATTCGGACTTGGATGTAAGTTTAATATATTATCATTATTAATAAGTCATTTTATTGTTTTTGTTGTTGTTATCAGTTGTAGGATCAATTAATTTGTTGTAGGTAGTTAATGTCCGGAAAGGCAAAATGCAACGTCGTGTCATTAGCTAATGCTCCTTCCTTCGTGGCCGAGTGCTAGCTTATTTGCCGTGCTGCTTAAACTCAAGTTTCATGGCCATCTCGCTACAAGGTGGATATGAACGGGGAATCATATTAAACTTCATAATTTTTATTGACCAGTGAGTAAAAAATAATGTATTTTAATTTTAGATAATGACTTGAAAGTTGTATTTTCCCCTTTGTGCTGCGCGCGCATGAGTGGTAAACAGTTGATGAGGTGGAAATGTTTTGTGCATTTTCTTTCAGTGGACAACAAAGACTATTACAGCATTATAAAGATTTATAAAATTTAATTTCAGGCCCTGCATATAGCTTTATGCTGCTCTTTTAGGTCACCTTTTTTCTCTTTTATCCATATGTTTCAGCTAAATTCAGAGTTCAGGAGGATTGTCACCACAGACCTGATGGAGTCTTTCTTTGGTGGACTAGATGCCTTGTTACCAAACCTTATAGAGTTGTACCAGTCAGGTGTCACATCCAACAAGAGGTTAATCCTGAGAAGAATTCTGCAGTGTCTTGGGAAAGAGGTAAGCACTGTGTAGAGATAAACATTAAAGTCCCCATGAAATCAAAAATACATTTTCCCGGTTTTAATCCGGCGTTCTTGTGTTAAATGTTCATTTATTTGCCAAATATATTTCAATAAAGCATTATCTGAGTATTTTGCATCTAAATAATCAAAAAAGTTCTACGATTCACTCAACTGTTAATACGATTCCCAATACTGGGTTCACGATACGATTGTTTCCCAATTTATTTTACAGTGTTTCCCCTAGGTTTAGAGCTCTGAGGGGGGGGGGGGTGTCAGTTGGATAACACCACAGACACAGGAATCATGGTGTTCATGTGTTTCTTTTAATGACAGCAGTCAATATAACAACTGAACAATTATTTGAACTTGTAACGGTCTGTCCAGCTTAGTTTTTGTTACTGCAACTTCCGTTTCTGAGTGCACCTGAATGTATCTCTCGTTGTCTGAGCACCCCTGAATGCAGCATGGTCTCAACGCATCCCCTGAGTAACGGCAGAAAGAGAGACATGCCCAGAAAAGTCCAAAGTCAACTAAGCAGACGACTGTTTTTTCTGATGGTTCTTACAGACTTTTTATTATTGCGTGCGTGTGTGATCTTTACATGCCTACTGATGACTCATCCTTCAGTCTGAAATGACTTTTT